CTCCTGCCTCAGCCTCCCAAGTAGCTGGAATTACAGGTGCACACCACCAGGCCCAGCTAATTTTTGTATGTTTAGTAGAGACAGGGTTTCTCACTGTTGCCTACGCTGCTCTCAAACTTCTGAGCTCAAGGGATCTGCCCACCTCGGCCTCCCAAAGTGCTGGGATTACAGGTGTTAAGCCACTGCGCCTGGCCTCAGTCACTCTTTAACTCCAACTGTACCTGAATGAGACAACCCTGGCCCTGTATTTCCGGACATAAAGCCTGGTCTCACTTGGATTTGCCTGGACCATGCAGGTGTTGAATTTAGAGCGAGCTCATCAGAGAATCAGTGCATTTGAGAAGAGCCTTCATATTCCCTGTTGCACTGGTGTGTAGGGTGCAGAGTCATTACAGATTTCAGCATTTCGAGTGGCATCCATTCAACTTACCTGCTGTTCCAAGGTGCTTGGATCAATAAAAGTCACCAGATCTATGGAAAAGTAACCAACCACATCTCTCATTCTGCAGGCTTTTCCAATTTGGAGGCACAAATAAGTGAGAACTTGGGGATCCACTGAGGTCTGAGGCACGGTGGTACCGGAGGAGATGAAGGGGCTGTCGGCATGAAGCTGGTCCCCTGTTGATAGCACGCTGATTTTCCCGTTGGGCTCTATCAGCATGTCCACTGTCAGGTTGGTGATGCTGTCTGCAGGTGGGAATGCTTCGATCACACCCCCTGGTGGGAAAAACGTGGAGCAGGTGAAAGGACACATTCATTTTGTTTGACTTGGGCTCAGATTCTGCATCTGCCATGTCTTGAGAGACTTTGGGCAAGTAGCTTACATTCTCTGAACTTATTTTTCTTTATCTGTAATATGGGCATAATAAAGCCTACCTCTTTAGATTGTTGTGAATCTTAGAGATACTGTATCTATCTATAGTATTTAGCCCAATGCTTGGTATATTGTAGGGCTCAGTGAATGGTAGTTTTGATTCTGATTATAATTTGAAGACACCGTGAGGATCACTGGGTCTATGCCCACTCATAAACAGTGAACCCAAGGATTATGATCAAATCCCTTTGGGGAATTAACTGCCCATCGTCCGCAGTTGGCATCTTGATGACCAGTGTGCTCTTTCGCGTAAATTTCACTGCTTTTTGAAGGTTTGACGGGTTTGGGCTTTTTGCGGGCAGAGAGAACATTGACCATCATGTCAGCCAAAGGACTTCTATATAAAGTCAGTTATAAAATGTTTTTAAAAATATAGAACCAAGAGATATTGCCGTGTTTGAAGAACGCATGTGCTCTCTCTGCTGATAATGAGAGCTTTATAATTTATTACATTTTACCTTTTGCTTTGAATGCCAAAAATCACAGAGGCAAGTCTGATGTTCAAGCACCGCAACAACATTTTTCTGGCTAATTTGTGGCCTATCTCAGTGGTGTCCACAAAAATTACATAGCCCTAATCTTCTGTTTTTAGGCCCAACTTACAAATCTTACTGTATATGTCCTCTTTGTAGAGAAAAAATTTAAGATATTACTTGTAAACAGTTAGATAATTTAGAAGTAAAAACAACAAAGTGTTCCATAGATAGGGTGCCGTCTAGAACCTGACAGCACTAAGAGAAACTTGGCCTGTATTTTACAAATTTGCTGGGGGCTGGGAGAAGTGTGACCTCTGCCTGTAGGTGTAAGAGAACAGCATACAAATAAAAAAATGAGCAGTTTTCAAATGCAGTCATCTGTTACTTCATCCAAAAAGCACTTTCCTTAAGTGTCTATAAATCTGGTCAGAGGTAGTCCTAACAAACACCAAGTTTCAAAAGGAAAATTGAGTTTGGAGGGTACATATTCAAATCCTAATTTTTCTATTTGGTTTGAGACATTCTTTTCTTCAAACGAGGCCTAGTCGTGTGTGCTGTACCTAAACATCAGTTGCTGGGGATTTAGCAAGGTAAATGCAGCAAAACAACAATGACAAAAATGTACAAAAGTAAAAAACCTAGTGAGTCTCTGTGCTTTGGTTAACTTTGTGGCTTTAGCTGTCACCTATGTTTTGAAAGATAGTGCTTCCGTGAAAACACACTATCATTCATAAGTTACAAGATTACTTGGGTATTTTATTTCAAAGTAGCTTATTTGTACTATCTTCTCAGCATCATGACCATAACCTTTTCACTGTTATTTTCTTCCACTCAGAGCAATTAATTCCTCTTCTGAAAAAGGTATTGCCACAAAGTGAGACCCTGTCTCTACAAAAAAAATTGTAAATTGTAAACAATAAATTAGCTGGGCATGGTGGTGTGCGCCTGTAGTCCCAGCTACTCAGAAGGCTGAGATGGGAGTATTGCCTGAGCCTGGGAGGTCGAGGCTGCACTGAGCTATAATTGTGCCACTGCACTCCAGTCTGGGTGACAGAGTGAGACCCTATCTCAAAAAATAAAAATGAAAATGAAAAAGTATTGCTTTTGACATAATCCTATGACAATTTAGAAATCAAATCCCTAGCACATTTTGTGGCCATAAGCACACTGGAGAAAACATAAATGGAATGAAACAGGCAATGGTGGAAGCTGGAGGGAGGGAGATGGTGACCTTAGAGTCGGGAAACCTGGGAGACACCCTGGCTCAGTTGGGGACCATTGATACAGGGCCTGCCGTATGCACTGGGTTGACAGAAAGGCAGAAGCTTTGAAAACACATGACTTTCAAGACCTAGGTTTTTAAATGTGCTAAAATTGAAGGATCTAACTTTGTGTTCCATTTACCACTTATTTGTTGTGTGATTTTGCCCAAGTCCCCTCCTATCTCTGAGCTTCAGTCTCTTCATGAAGAAAATTAAGTTAATAAAGCTTGTACTGCTCTCCATAAATAAGCATGGCTGAGAAAGCAGGATAAAGATGAACAGGAGGTGGAGGTGAAGCCTTAGCTTGTGGTTATACAGCTCAGATGAGATAGTTGCTGGGAAAGCCTTTCTCATCTACAAAGCTCACATGAAAAGAAATAGTTTAGAGGGAGGCTTTTGCAGGCAGATGCTTGAAGATCTGGAAATTTCCTAACACCCTGACCTGGACGGGCCTGGAGATCATCATGGTCTTCCCCCCATAACTTAAAAACAAAAACAAAACAAAACAAAAAAACCCACCTCATCAGGCTGAGTGCAGTGGTTCACGCCTGTAATCCCAGCACTTTGGGAGGCCGAGGCAGGTAGATCACCTGAGGTCAGGAGTTCGAGACCAGCCTGGCCAACATGGTGAAATCCTGTCTCTACTAAAAATACAAAAATTAGCCGGGCATGGTGGCGTGCACCTGTAATCTCAGTTACTCAGGAGGCTGAGGTAGGAGAATCGCTTGAACCCAGGAGGCGGAGGTTGCAGTGAGCCGAGATGGTGCCACTGCATCCCAGTCTGGGCAACAAGAGTGAAACTCCATCTCAAAAAAAAAAAAGAAAGAAAAAAGAAAAAACACCTTATTAGTGATCGTGTGTGTGTGTGTGTGTGTGTGTGTGTGTGTGTGTGGTAGCCACTTGATTTTCTTCCATTTATGCATGGGGTTGACTTTCCTTACTTTGACTTGTCTATCAGTGGGTACATGTGGAAATTTATAGAATCACAACATTTTAGAGTTGAAAGGACATTGGAAGTTGTCTAGCACAACTGTCCCCTGCAAAGAATCTCTTTTCTGCAATCTTGTTAGATGGCTGCCATTCAACCCCTTGCTTAAATAATTCATTAACAGAGGTCGCTTTTCATGGGCTCTTCTATGTGTTAGCAGAGTGACTTGGGGTTAATCTTTCGTACTTCAGCTTCCCACCTCTATAAAATGAGGGTGATAATGGTGCCCACCTCATAGGATGGTTAGGAAGCTTCAATAAGTTAACGTAGATATACTTAGAAGAGTGCCTGGCCCATGATAACCACTGTCTAAGCTCACTGTTTTATTATCACTGTGCTATTATCATCACTGGGCTATTGCTGCTGCTGTTATCATCTGACATGACATTATCTTATCATTATTGACTATTGCTGAGATTATTATTATCACTTGATAGCAGTGGGAAGATGCCTTCTGTGGCCTGTTATACTAACCCTCTCTTCTTGTGCATGTGGGTAAGCATATAATATGTCTTGCACTGTAACCTCCTAGAGAGTGAGGGCCGTCGCATGGGTGTGCCTCTGTGTAGCACCCTCACAGGGACCTCTGAGATGGTAGACAGGCATCATTCACTCCATTCATTCCCCCATTCATGGACCACCCAATGTTGTTAGGAAATGAGGATGAAGTAGGAGGAGGAGGATGAAAGGAATGGAGGCTCGCTTTGTTCCTGGACTCTAGCAAACCCTTGTTTGGAAATGTTATATTCAGAACTGGAAGCGAGACCATTTCTGCTCTCCTAGAAAACAGGAGGAGAAACTAACACTTATTAAAGATGATTTTGTATAAGGTTCTGTGGTAGAAACTTTCATATCTGTATTTCATTGAATCCACCCAATGACCCTGTAAGGTAAATAAGTGAGGAAACCAGGCCTTGGTGGGTTTAAGAACCTTGCTCAAAGTCATGGATGGGATCCAGACCCAGGTAATCTGATTCCAAAGCCCACCTCTCAGGAGAAGTTTGTGGTGTAAAAACAGGCCCAGAATCTTGAGCTCCCCGTGCCATGCTTGGCATGCTAGGTTCCTATTTACTTAAGAGGCTGGGTGTAAGATAAATATTTAGGCAACATTTGAAAAAGAAAACCATAGGAGCACTTCTCTAAACCAACACAGGAGATGCAAAGTATTGAAATTGGCCCCAGTTGACCCAAAACTAGAATCCAAAGTTGTGTAGACTAATCCTCAATAGAAACTTTACAGTCTTATTTACCTTGACTGAGAAATGTTTGGAGGAATTTCCTCCACGTCGGGAACCGTTTCTCATTGACTGGCTGTGCGTGCTGTGCTAAAATGCCCGCCAGCTCCTCGGAGATCTTCACCAAAGCTGGCTCCTGCAGAAACAAATTAAATAGAACCACAAGCAATTTTACTACAGAAATGAAAACTGCTTGTGGAGTGATTAAAAACCAGGCCTCCAACAGGCAAAAAAAATGTGGTTACTGTTTACCCAGAGTCAGAAAGCCATTTTGAAAATGTTCTCTCTTTTTTCAGCCATTTCAGTTTTCATATTTCAAAAGTGATTTGGCCTCCCTAAAAACTCTTCATTGTTCCTGTTGTCTCTGAAAGGCACCCTTCTCTCTGGGCATCAGGAAACCAAGTTTCAGACCCACTGCAGCTGGCAGCCTGACCAGCAGAGTGTCCTTGGGCAATATCTTTTCTCACTCTGGGCCTCAGTTTCCTTTTATATAAAATGTGGAGTTAATTGTTTTTGTTTTTCTCTTTCTTATTATTTTTTTTTTTTTTGAGACAGTTTTGCTCTTGTTGCCCAGGCTGGAGTGCAATGGCACAATCTCGGCTCACTGCAACCTCCGCCTCCCGGGTTCAAGCGATTCTCCCGCCTCAGCCTCCCCAGTAGCTGGAATTACAGGCATGCACCACCACGCCCAGCTAATTTTATATTTTTAGTAGAGACAGGGTTTCTCCATGTTGGTCAGGCTGGTCTCAAACTCCCGACCTCAGGTGATCCGCCCGCCTCGGCCTCCCAAAGTGCTGGGATTACAGGCGTGAGCCATCGCGCCCAGCCTAATTTTGTATTTTTAGTAGACGGGGTTTCACCATGTTGGTCATACTGATCTCGAACTCCTGACCTCAGGTGATCCACCCACCTCAGCCTCCCAAAGTGTTGGGATTATAGGCGTGAGCCACCGCACCCAGCCACCTCCATATATATTTTTAATTTTTCTTTTAAATTTTCTGAGACAGAGCCTTGCTCTGTCACCCAGGCTAGAGTACAGTAGTGTGATCATAGCTCACTGCAGCCTCAGTCTCCTGGGCTCCAATGATCCTCCTGCCTTAGCCTCCCAATTGGCTGGGACTACGTGTACACACCACCATGCACGGCTAATTAAAAAATATATTTGTAGAGATGGGTCTGTGTTGTCCAGGCTGGTATCAAACTCCTGGTCTCAAGCAGTCCTCCTCCCTCAGCCTCCTAAAGTGCTGGATTACAGCTATGAGCTACAGTGCCCAGTCATCTTCCATCTCTTTAATCTGTGCCATTTTCCCCTTGTTGGTGGATGTCTGCATCCTACAACTTCATCATCAAAGCCTTAAACTATGGCTGAAGCTGTAAAGGTGGGATTTTAGGTAGGGATGGGTTGGAAGAGTTAGGTGGGAAGGAGTATTGGGGCCAGCCTCAGTTTGCCTGAAATCCCCCCTAGGTCACAGTCTCGTCTCCCTGGATGTGAGGCTGGCCCCATACCATTTGTAAAACAACCCAAAGACTAAAGAGCCTCCTGTCAAAATGAAATCAGTATGGAATCCTCAATGAATAAGAAGTCTGGCTTTTGATATAAAAAGCCTTGGTTTGCCAGGACAATTTTTTTTAGATGTCCTAAGTTGCGATACTCTTCCTCTTAGACTGTCTAAACTTTTTCAAATAAAAGCCACCTCTTCAGATTTTATTTCTGCCAGAAGTGAGGCAGGGTCCTGGACCAAAACTCACATGACAGACACTATTCATACTCAAAATAAGGAGCACTGACAAGAGAAACTCAGATTTACTTTAGGTTGCGGGGGAACTTCTGAATCTGAGTGACGGTGCAGTAATTTGGAGGGATCAGCTTTGGGTGTGGGATTGGAATCTGAGAAATCACACACACTGATTTCCAATTTCCCTACCATTAAAAAGTGATTGTCCTCTATGCACTGCCTGCCCCAACTCCTTGGAACAGCTGGTTGATTCTAGGTCCAGTGCCTACTGACAAACCACAGCAGAAGACTAAACATCTGACACTATGCTCTCAGCAGGTTCAAAAAATCTGAATAACTTCCGAAATATCCAGAAAATCTTGGTGGGAGAGTTTCATTAGTTAGCTTAGTAAGTGCTTGACATACAAAACAGAACCTCCCTGAAAGGCGGAGAGTGCCCTGGCTCACACTCGGCTCAGGACGACTCCCTGCAGAGTGGGAGGAGGTCTGTGAAGAAGGGCTGGGGAAGCGCTCATGCAGAGAGCTCTGCCTTGTGATGCAGAAGCAAGGAAACTGCTGTCAAAGCAATGGGCCTTTTCCCTCCTTCACATCCTATACACGGTGCGCATTTTCTCTGATCTTTACTGTGAATTACCTGATCGCCCCAAAGCCCTGCATCTAAATTTTAAACAAGCATGCGAAATGCGCAGCTCCAGCAACCCGGACTCCTTTGTTCCTTCTCTGAACAGTCTCCAAAATCCATCTTTCTTTTGTTTTACACTTGTTTCAGTTAAAACCATTCCATTTTATCTCTGATTCATGAAGTGCCCCAAAGCTGGGACAATGAAACACAGCGTTAGAATCCCACTCTTCTCTGGAAAATGGAATGGCAAGGAAAGGAAGTCTCACAGCCCAGGCCCTCTGTCAGGAAAGTGGGAATTTCTTTGTTCTGCCTTGATTAAATGGCTTTTTCTGCCCTACTGCTGGGGAACGTGAAATCATCTACCAGTTACACACTATCTGGCCATTCATACCAAGGCAGTCCAAAGAGAAATCGTTCACTCATCTATACAGCAAAAATTACAGAATGTCAGGCCTTTTAAGCAACTGGACTAGACAAAAAGTGTTTATAAGTATATAATTTTTTTTTTTTTTTGGTGTTGGGGAGAGAGGGAGAAAAGGCAGTGAAGGAGTAGGTAAAAGCCTTGCCACGTAAATCTTGAAAGATGTCCTTCAGCTTGAGGATCAAGTCCAAACTCCTCAACATGACAGATTGATATGGCCTCTGTGATATGGCCTCTGACTCCTAATGTGGCCTCACTTTCCTGCCCAGCCCCCAGCCTCCCCTGAACTTGCCCTCCTCTGCCTCCCTTCTTCCTCTTCCTCCCCTTGCTGACTCCTCCTCCTCCCCTTGCTGACTCCTCCTCATCCTTCCTGAGGTGGTTCCAGCCACATCTCCTCCAGGAAGCCTTCTCTCCCACCCTAGTTGGGAGAGAAGGCTTTCTCCCTGCTCTCCAGCTCTCTCCGGGCTGCTTAATGGCATGGGCACTGGCTTTGAGGTCAGTCTCCCAGTCCCTAGCACAGGGAACACTAAATGTCTGTGGAATGAGTCACAATGCTGGTAAACATAGGATGTAGTCCTTAAAGCTAAAGTTACAGAATAAGATAAAACGTGAAACCTCTCAATGGGCTCCTCCTTGCTGCTCAGGAAGCAGCTGGAGGGAAGGCTGCTTAAGAACCACAGACTCTTCCTGGGTGGACTTTATGGGATTCCCTGCCTCTGAAGGGCATCGGGAAGATAAATGAGGTCGCATTTATGAAGTGTCACCTTAGATGCAACATACTATGTGAGGGCCAATAAGTAACTCATCAGCCTGCTGCTTGTGTGTGGCATCTGGACACTGTGCCAGGCTTCTGCCAACACCTCTGCTCACAAAGCCAGCCATTCTGCTTTGACGCTTGGAGTTTTCACTGTGCACAAAGCCACAGTAAGGGGCTAAATTTCCTAGAGGAAAGTCAGCTGCTGGAATCTGGAGGAGTAATCGTGTCCCACCATGAGAGGTACACAGCTAAAGGCACTGACGGGGTGACATTCAATAGGGATGCTGGGGCACACAGAGGCAGCTTGGGGCCATGATTCATTCTCTAAGAAAAAGGCATGGAGAGGAATAATGCGAGGTAAGAGGAGAGGGGTATTAACTGTTTAATTTATTTCTTTATTTTGAAAGTGTCTGACGGGAAAAACAAGGATTATACTAAGAATGGCCTCAGCACCAACGAAAATTGTCTTCCCATCTCTACAAAACAAACCAAAAAAATACAGCAGGACCTGCAGCTCATATATTCAAGTAAGGTCAGAAAAATGACATTCTTGGTGAAAGCTTCATTTTATTTTATCCCCCCAACAAAACAACCTTTTACAGTCTGGTTTCTGCTGGTACTCAGAAGCTGCTTGTGAACTGGTGGGTTAGGCGAGAGTTCAAATCCAGGAGCAAAGGACTCCATCGCAGCAGTGGTTTAACAAGCTAAGAACACCCTTTTCCCAAGAAGCAACAAGGTCCCAACGGCCACAAAGGGTCTATCAATGTCAGATGCAAGCTCTCAGTTTTTGGGGGGCTTTCTGCTCTCGAGTTTTTATCATTTTGCATAGTTCAAACATAATGCCACAACTTTAAGGGCAGATGCTGGTACGGGAAGATCTGTAGCTCTTCAAGTTTATTCTGTTCAAAACAAACTTATGTATACACACACACACACCCCTTCCATAACAGACAAACACTCCAATTCATGTGAATCATAAGAATAGTATTTGTAAAATACTTTCTCTTGTCACAGGTTCACATTCATGATCTCATTCAGTCCTTTCAGCAACACTCTGTGGTAGCCACTACCATGCTATTTCTCTTGCTTTAAAATGGGAAGCTGAGGGACTTTAAGAGGCTTGTGTAAGATCATCACTCAGTGAGTTGTAATGTTCAACAAATGATTAAAGACAGAAAATAAGAGTGTTAGGGGAACCATTTCTAGCTTGCCTTCCTCCTCCCTTTTCTACCTTCCCAAAGTGTATATATATTGAGTATCTGTTATAAGCCAGCAACAGGGGCACATCTTTATCTTAAAAACTTGTGAAATGAGGCCGGGCACGGTGGCTCATGCCTGTAATCCCAGCACTTTGGGAGGCTGAGGTGGGCGGATCACTTGAGGTCAGGAGTTCACGCCCAGCTTGACTAGCATGGTGAAACTCTGTCTCTACTAAAAATACAAAAATTAGCTGGGCATGGTGGTGGGCACCTGTAATCCCAGCTATTTGGGAGGCTGAGGCAGGAGAATTGCTTGAATCCGGGAGGCAGAGGTTGCAGTAAATTGAGATCGCGTCATTGCACTCCAGCCTGGGCAACAAGGGCAAAACTCTGCCTCTAAA